CGGCATCATCAGGGATAAGAAAAAATATTCCGCGTAAGGCTTATTTTATAACTTAATTTACGAACACACCTCTAGATGTCCCAGTTCTCCTGTCCAATTGCAGCCGTCGCTTTGGTTTGTACACTGGACTGGTAACGACAGAATTTCGCGTCGCGCAAACTTGTCTTCAAATATCTAACAATCATGATTATATAAAGCAATTTTAATTAACCAGTTATCTATCAAGTCATAATGAAATGAATCATATCTTGCAATGGGACACTATCTTGATAATGTTGTTAATTAATTAACTAATTTAATTTATGCAATCAGTGATCTATGAAAACAGGCTATGTATAAAATGGGCAAGAACAAGTTCCCTTTTATTCTAGGACAAGATCGTGGAAGTGCTTCAACTTGACTGAAGAAAAGTTTCTTTTGTCTTTATGTTTTTTATGATCTCAGAAATCGACAATGCTCAAAGCTGACGTAAAGGAGGTGAACCAGTCTAACATACCCTTCTCCATGGTGATTTCTGCACTGTCCACCAAGCACTTCGAAGAAGACATTCTAAAACAAAAGAGCATCCAATTTGTTTTGGTAAGAAATTAAAGGGTCATTCGCTTTTTTAATCTGGGTGGAAAACTCGGCCCAATTCCGAGTTAGGTTCCGGTATGATCAGAAAGGAATGCTTCCTAGACAGTCACCGCTTACACTGGACGGAGATCGCAATAAACATATACTGTTTACCAGCAGGCCAGGGGCACTAGCCAGACGACAACGGTCCGTCAGGCCGGAGCACTCGAATCCACCAAAGCCCATACGACATATCGCCAGCTCAAATTGACGATTTCGACTTATCATAAATCTTCCCAATCCACTGGAAGGTAGGAGTGTGGCCAATTAGCCAAACCGTACCTTAGTAATGGTTCTATGCAAGACTTGCAGTATCGATGTCCACAGTTGGTTTGTACCGGATCCCTCAATACCTTTCCACAGGACGTGCAGAGGTATTTAGGATCATAAGACTTCATGTCTTTTTCGGAAAAAACACATGCATAACCAGGCATGATCAATGGATATCTGACAAAAAAAAAAATTCAACATTAAATTATCAGTTTCGAATGTCACCCATATATCATTGCCAGCTGGGAGTGAAGACATTTAATCCCGGGTCAGTTTCACAATTGCCCCCCTCTCTCTTCCCTCCCCTGCCCTACCCCCACGCCGGGGTGCAGTGCAGTGCTGAGAGCTATGAATTGCAGAACTGCGAGGAGCCGGCAGGACAAGTGTATCTGTTTCTAAAGTCAAGTGCGTAATTGCTGTAAAAAATAAAATAGGGAGTTTCCCGGCTGGCTGCTTGTGCAATTGGTTTGTTTACCCCAGGGAACGTTTATATACATAAATGGACTTTGTACCAGGACACCTTCGGACCGCATGATCAAGTGGAAATCATGTGCCACGATGAAAGGAGTGTGGCGGGGTGCGGAGTGAAAACATAATTTTTCTCAGGGCCTGTCGTATGGATGGACTTAATTAAACTTTCTCCAAATGCAAATCATGTTCCTGAACCTAACGATTTAGTGCCGCATTTATGTCGGCTGACGTGAGGATTCCGCTCGATATGCCAAGGCCCGACTCGATCATTAGCTTTAGTAAATATTTCATTTTTAATTTTACGAGCCTCTTTAACGTTTTAACGTGTTTACAACGTTAAGCAACATTTTTGTGTGACAGCTAACGCACGCATTCACTGCATGATTTGTGTAATTTCGTATTCGACGCCTGGTCGCAGCATTTAATATTCAGAATTTTAATGAGCATCAACGGTTTTGGAACAACGCGCCAACTGTCTATTTTCGAAATTTTGTCGACAAGCGACAAGGTGAACCCGCAAAATCAGTCAGATTATTTCAGTTTTTACACTTAATACGATTTTGTTTGCACGTAATATATTACCCTATTGAAATTTTGCAAACCAAGTTTTGAATGTGTATTAAAGCCGAACGACTACCTTGCAGTTGCTGATCACCCGCACGCACCGTGTTGCGGAACTACCGCGGTAACGACGAACTTTGTGGAGCAAAGAAAAAAAGCAGAAAATACAAAATTTTCACGAATTTATGGCAACTTACTTTTCGGCCGTTTGCATGAGGCTTAACGTTACGAAGCAAAAATGTCAAATTTACAAATCTCCGGGAATCCTAAATGCTGGTTGTTTTATGTACTAAATAAACTGGCATATATCTGTAGCTGAGGAAATTGTAAACTTGCCAACGCTGAAACCTCTTTCATCGAGTTCCTGTACAACGCAGCAGATGACTGTAAGCGGCAGTGTCAGAGCTTACCTTAGTGTTGCTGTCTTTTGTACTTCTGCCCTACCGAAAGGGCCTTTTCCCAGCCATCATTATCTATGATAATTATTTCAGTTTTCATAAGGGGTTTTTCCCTTCATTGAACAGCACGTGACTGAAGGTTTGGCTTCCATTGGCAGTTATTGATGCGTGTCGAAGTACGTGGGAAATTTCCCCGACAGTTGCGGGATAAAACCTAAACGGTACCGAGTCTCCATGGATAGCTTCACGTATTAAATCACACTAAACGGGCCACACTTCGTCATGGCGTACAAGTTCGAAAGTTCACTGATTCAGTCTGATTCCTTTAAAACCTTAGATTCTATCGCAATTGTACAAATAAGAAAAACGGAGGGAACCTACGTACCTTCCTATCTACCGACTGAGCTATACCGACTAAACGTCCAGTATAGTTGCCTAAAAGTTGGCCGTGAAAAAACCTTGAAACAAATCCGTCGCAGGTTCGTTGGTATCGAGACACTAATTTGTCCCTAAGCTGATCGTACGTATAATACAAAGCACTTTGTGTGTCTGAAATAATGGCAACTTGGTAAGATAATATATCTTGTCACGGAACTGTTGGCGACAAAATTGTTTTCGCACTGAAAGAACCTGGATCAGTATAAAAGTACAAATTAAAAATGACCTCAGAAGAAAACTGTATGCTAATGAATGCGTCTCTGCTTGTTTGTCTAGTGTCATTGAGGCTTGCAACCACAACATATTCCTTTTCCGTTTCGACTCGCCCGATTCATCATCCACAAAAAATAGAAATACTCCCTGTTCTAATTTTTTTAAAGTAGGTCAAATTAATTCGTTATTAAACGTTTGAATTCCACGTTTCTGATGTCGAACTTCATAAAACTGTCGTGTGGAGCGTTCGAATTCTACATTGTTACGCAACACCAGGTTCACAGTAGGTCACATGAAAGGTATAAAACCCAGGTAGAATATTTGCATATTTACTAAGAACGGTTCAAGTTGCATGTTGGGATAGGGAAAATCCCTATTTAATACGGGAGAAAGTATTTTCTCTCTAACACGTGTCACAATGACTTTCGTCTCCCGTGATACATTATCAAAACGGCACCGGGAAACAGCCAAGGCGAGTACATTGTCTTTATTTTATTGATGGTACTTCAAATCTATCCTTTATTAAACGTTCGAATGCCTTACAACTGTCTCAACGGTCGGCATTGTGACGAAACGACGCTTGCTTTTGGGCACATTAGATGTAATTTTGGGACTGAATTATTAAACGTTTGTATGGAATTTAGATTTGAGTCTTTCTGCCGATAAACCTGATGTGGAAATTTCTAAATAGGTCAGTCACGAAATTGTATTTGGTGCTACTTTTTATCACTGCGATATGTTTCTTGGTAGTCTAAGCGATTTATTGGCCAATGTATCCGGCTGTAATGCATTTGTACATGCATACAGAAGCTGTAAATAGACCGGAAGAATAAATTGACCAGAACCTCAAATAACCTAGAAACACAACGTAGTGATAGAAAGCAACTCCAGATATAGTTTCGTGAACTTTATTTCGTGATTTCGACTCAGTGCTAAATTCCATGCAAGGAACTCTCAAACATTGTTTGAAACAATCGAGCTTGGTTTACCTAGGGCTATGGCGCGTCGTTTGTTTCAAAATTATTTTTTAGCTGTCGATTGTCATACGTGTTGTTTAGTGACATAATCACTGCATAAGAGCCCTCCGTTCAGTGTCCGCTTTATCCATTTCTTTCTTTTTAAATTCGATCTCTTGTTAGTGTACTTGATATTCAATCAGTTGTGCGCTTGAATTTTTGTATCGGTAGTGATTTATATTCGATCAGTTATTTTTTTCATTCGATTACTTGAATGCGTTGATTTTGTCATCAGTTGTGCTGGACATTCGAATCAGTCCTAAGTGTGACTTTTTCTATCAGTTGTGCTTGATATTCGATCAGTTGTCTGTTTTTTGATCAGTTGTAAGACTCTTTCGATCAGTTGTGCTTGCTATTCGATCAGTTGTCTGTTTTTCGGTCAGTTCTAAGCGTGACTTTCTCGATCAGTTGCTTGATATTCGATCAGTTGTCTGTTTTTCGATCAGTTCTAAGCGTGACTTTTTCGATCAGTTGTGATTGATATTCGATCAGCTGTCTATTTTTCGATCAGTTGTAAGCGTGGTTTTTCGATCAGTGGTGCTTGATATTCGATCAGTTGTCATGTCTGCGACTTTTTTGATCAGTTGTGATTGATATTCGTTCAGTTGTCTGTTTTTCGATCAGTTGTCATGTCTGTGACTTTTTCGATCAGTTGTGCTTGCTATTCGATCAGTTACAATTGCCTGTTTTTCCATCAGTTCTAAGCGTGATAGTTCCAGATATAGTTCTACACCCCCCATCCTCCACCCCCAACCCCAACCCTAACCCGGGCTCAAATTGAACATAGAAACGACTTGAAATAAGCACTTTGAATAATCAAGCCTTTGGATAATAGCTCGTTAAACATGAGTACAAAGAACTTGGAAGAATTCATAATAACTAAGGGTTGTTCAAATTCACTCAGGATTTAGAGGGTTGGAATCTGGAGCACTATACCTTTGTGGGCTTTGTTGCATGGGCCGAGTAAATGGAGAGCAAAATAAGCGCAAGTCTTCTAAACTTTGCTACCGTTCTTCAATTTGTTCAGCTACGAAACGTGCCGTTCTGATAAACAAGTCTGTGCCGTAATCTTTGGTCGAGAGGATTGACATTTTCTTTTAATCTTTGCATTTCTTCGGCCATTAAGGGAACGTTGATCTCTGGAATTGTCACTTCAACATTGCCGCCTTCGAGAAAGCATCCGGAACCGCAAGGATCAACACCATAAAATTCATTTACCTCTGAATCAAGAATGTCCCGAACACCGGTAAAAGTAGAGAAACGATCTGCGTTAACACCACATATCCACATCTGATAAGGAGATTATCTGCCCAGCGCAGAAGCACAGCAACTGGATCGTGTTCTCGAATGATATCTCTGACGCGATGTCGGGAAACGAAAATTCCCTTGCTTCTGAGGCAACCAATTACCATGCGCTCACCACACGCAGGGAAATTCTCTTTAATTAACAAGATTTCTCGCTTACAGAATCTAAACCCTAACACCAGAAACTTATGAAAATGGGCTGTCGGTGCTGAAGTCATCATCTTCTTGAGACGTCTCCACAGAGTGCTCCTTGAAATACAAAGAGTATATTAAGCAATTCTTGTCCACGAAAAGCGCCAAGATCACAGAAATTCTACTTGCACAATATTCACTGCGAGCCGTGGTCTGCCAACTAAACCAGATCGATCATGAATGAGGGCTTCGGGAAGCCATGAAGACACACTTAAGGGGAAGAATCGATATCATATAGCTTTTTCTCGACACAATCAATAACGGCCCTGTACAGATTCAGAGAGAATTTTGATCTTCGAAATCGTTTCCAATTCAGCAGGATTCTCAGCAGTAAATCTTAGCGAATTGGCGACTCGTTTACGTTCTTCCTTTATTGTTATTCTCACCTCAATGAAGACTCTGTGGTATCCGACCATTATGTTCGAGTTGGTAGAGCTTGTAAATGGAGGACGATAGTTTCTTTTGTGTTCGTACGCAGTGTTGGTTAGCAATGGAAGCTAATGGAGGGCTTAGCCTCTTGCACATTGAGATCTTCATTGAGCTTCAGGCTTACAAACAAGGTTTGTACTTTTAAAGTTAGATTACCAAGTTGCTGTCTCACATCTTTTGTCGAACTCTGATCTTTAAATGGTAGGAGACTCAACAGCCTTGTGATGATAGATAGGGCTGTTAGTCGGATACCCTAGTGTCGATGTGCTGTTAATGGCCGTGCTAGTCAAGTCAACACGTCAACATGGAGAACCTACGTGCATGCCTACGTGGCTCTGGTATTGGAGTATTAGGCCTTTGTTGGTTCGTGGGCTTGTTATGAACTTTGGACTCGATCTTAGGGGCTCGGCTGAGGCTTCCACGCCCAGAAAGGGGAGCGATCCGTCATGTTCGATCTCCATAATTGATTTAATTTAATCAAAAAATGGCAATGGCTTCAGGTGTGTAGAACTCGGTCAGCGGTTACTCTAACCCGCATTGCAGTACGGGTGTCGTCCACATACCTCCAGTAAAACGAGCGTAGCATGCCTTCCTGTTTAAGAGTTTCCTCGATGCCTTGTTTCCTTGTTTTCTGCTAATTTTTAAAAGCGATTTTAGGCAGTTATCGCTTTCCAGGTTTCTTTCCAGTCTTGGGAGTTGGAACGTTGGAACTGTTAACAAAATAAAATCATTTCAGATCAGTCGAAAAAGCGAACAGACAACAAGCAATACATTGTTGAAGTATTTTTATTAATAGCTTTTTAGTTTGTCCGCCTTCTAAAACAGATCGTGAATATTCCCATCCAAAGTCTTTTCATTTTGCCATGACCACGTCAGAAAAAGGGGTCTCAACGCCAAAAAAGTCAAAGCTTCTAATAGTAAATGTTTGTACGCGTATGTATCCCCACTAAAGAACGGGTGAACAGTAAAATGTCTCCTACTTGAAATTTCAGTCCAATCAGTTGATGAAGTGAGCGGTCAAACGGTACCAATAAAGTCGTACAGTTAAAAGGATTTGGCACCTAAAATGCGTGATGCGATAGCGAGCAGTGAGTTAGAAGAACGTTGATGATTGACTACGGCTGATGATTTTTCCAGTATGAAGCTAAATCATACGATCACAGGAAGTGTATGTATAAAGTGGCGAAGTAGACTTAATAGAACAAGAGTAGCAGAGTAGTAGTGCAGAGTTGCTAAAATTTAGGCACAAAAATAATTATGTCCCTACTGTGATAAAAAGAAAGGGAAATTGACTGAGAAGAGTTGAACTTTGTAAATAAATTAATCTCATATAAACATTTTGCTTATTGGGTTTGTTAAATGCGAGTGTTTAGCTTAGTTTCGCCGCTCGACTGCCGGCTGAGACCGCCGACTTAGACTGCTCGAGTATTTTTTCTGAGTCATTTCCTAAAAAAAAACCGGCTTTTCCTTTCTTCCGCCTGCTTCTCATACCTGTTCACAGCCTCGACAAGAGACTTTTGTACCCTATTTTTCGTCCAGTGACGTAAAATATTATCTTCATTCTGAAAAGGTTTCCGCCATTTTAAAAAACAAAGGGAAAAGGTTGGTTATATTGACGTCACCTATGCCTCTGTACGTGTCTTCTAATCATAGGTGAGAACCAATCAAAATGCGAGAATAATTTCACTTATTATAGAAAGATTTATAGTTCCTTTCCCGTCCAGGGTTTTAGATGAAATCCGCGCGACATTCTTTATCGGGGAATCATGACTTTGCAAGATTTCTGCAACTGTGATATTGACTGAGATTCTGCGGCATCTAAAACTTCAAGGAAACTAAATTGCCGTGAGTTGCTTTTTGATGCTTTAGATTATTACACGTACATATTTATATGTAGCAGACTGCTTCTATCTGGGGCCAGTTTACCCAGTATGTTAGCGAGAAAACAGTATTAAGCTTGGCTACTATCGATGTTGATGGAAAAATGGAAATATGCACCACCATACTCTGCGCCAAATAGAAAGAGCCGGTCGTTAACTTCGAGTGGGCGGCCAAAGAAAGCATGTGCCTCAAGGAAATTCCATACCGGGAGCACACGATTCCAAAATGAAATGGTTTTCTGTCCATGAGTTATGCAGAGTCGCCGGTCTAAAATGAAAAAAACAGAGATCTATTTCATACGAATATGTCACTGGAATCAGATGGTCCTTGGGAATTTGTGTACCGCATTTCTTTTGCAGCCGCGATGCGTGATGTCTGCGCTGCCGAGCCACATAATTTTTTTTTTTCGTGGTGCTTTGAATCATCTACTACCATGACTGCATTTTCCTTGACGTGTAGCAGCTTTCAGGTCAAATAATATTAAAAGGCGGCATTCGTTTTGTAAAAATTTTTTTTTGTGCCACGCACTTTCGCTTTCCGGCTGACCGACTTTTCTCTCGCGACCTCGCTTTTTTTCTCGTGGGCAGCCGTGAAAGCCTGCTCGCAGGTTTTATCAGATATCTCAAAAATTCCTTTTATTTTACCACAGGAAAAACTCCATCTCATAACAGTGAAGCAGTGGTTTGAAATGGCTACCAAACTCTCCATTTACTCTAAACTCTAAACAAACAAAAAAAAGTAATAAAATAAAATCTAAAATACACAAATACAACGACAGTCTGCATTGGGATGTTTTGGGGGCTTGCCCATTGTCAACTAAAATATTGGGCATTAGTTTTAGCCTCCCTCCTCCCCTTCCCCTCCCCCTACCCTCCCTCCTCAATCCACACCATCGAGAAAAACTCGTGAAAAGAAGTTTTGGATTTAAGATGTTAAGTGGCCTGAAATGACCTCCTCTTGGGTTCTGGGTCTTAGTCATAATTTTCTAGGGGCACATAGGAATATCCGTTGTTCCTGGGTACGAGCTCGAAAAGAAAAGTTGGTTCGTTAGCATGTAAATGATTCTGCTTGTACATGTAGATATTTGGAAGCTTTATAGCTAGAACTTATCTTTTTTTGTGCCTAGCCCCAACGCAGACGCTCTTGGGCTATTTTGTGCCTAGCTTATGTCGTATTTCTGGGTTTTAGTTTAATAAGAGATACTTTTACGTTTGTCTCAGTGCTTCTAGGAGCTTCTAGGCCTTGGTTATTTTGCTGCCGCCTTTGCTACTACACCAGGTTGATCGTAGAGAAAACCACCAAAATAACATTCGGAGATGATCATGCCTGAGTATCTCTTGGCCAGTGCAGAGCAGGAAAAAAGCGGTCCAAAGTGTATCCGTTCCTCCTGTGGTCTGCTACTCTTTCTACTTTTTATGTCATTTCAGTAAGTGTTGCCAGAAATCCATACCGTGTTTTCTTCTAGCTTTATAGCTTTGTGCAGTGCTTTTTTTACACATTTTGTATTGTATACTCTGGTCAATCTTCTGTGTTATCTACTTCTGTGTTACCTACTTGCTATCTACTTTTTGTGTTGCTCTTTAACCACTCTGCGTCTCCGGACTCAAAATTATATGATCATGAAAGTATTAATTACACACCATTGTTATGCAATGACAAAATAAAACTGTTAACTGGGCCTGGGGAGAAATCAATTCTTATAATTAAATGGTGACGATTTTCGGCGTGCTAATCACGAAACAAGCAGTTTATGTAGACCTCAACTTTAAGAGCTTGCATTTAACGAAGAGTTGACATTTTTCCCCACTGGGAAAATTTTGTGCCCGTTGTCATGAGATCCCAGACTTAGCTTCTATGAGACTGGTGACTACTTTTTTAAAGGTTTCACTAAGGTGTTGGCAGATCTCTGACTTGAGGCAGTGGTTTGAGCCATGGGTGGGGACGGGGCTGGTGTCGACTCTCTTAGGCAGCTTAGCAAGGTCTTTTAAATCTTTCGAATTTTCTGACTGGATGCCATACCCTAATGCTCGTCTGTTAATTGAACCCCGAAACCCCTGCAGACTTCTTTTTCTTTCCGATTTCCACGACACTTTGTTTGGATTCCCTAAACTCAGTTTAAATAGAGGCTTTAAATAACTTTTTTATGAAATCTCCTAATAACAGTGCTAAGCTCTTGAACTTACACTTCTTGTTTTTGGTTTTCAGAAATGGATCTTGCAAAGTGACCTGTTTACAGGACCAGACAGAATTTCTGCCAAATGAGGTCTGGCATTTCTTTGAGTTAATTATTAGATACAATGGTGTAGCTAACAGTAAAAATAATCACCATTTATATAACTGTATTTATGGAATACTATTGAAACAGATGGAAGTTCTGTTTAGTGTTGGAGCGGCCAGGGAGCATTTCGCTTGCATCTCATACCAAAGATATGCAAAGGTTTTCAACCTTCTGTCACATATGTTGTATGTCACACCTGCACACCAACTGGCACACGCTAAAGAGAGTGATCATTACTGAAAATGATTCAAAATGCATCTTACCCAGGACGGCTATTATTTATACAAGACATCTGAGGGTCGTGATACTTTGGCGGATGAGAGAGAGTCCGAGTTAAATAATTGTACTGGATGTCTCTTATTTGCCTTTAGAAAAGATCCTGTGAGAAAGCACACCCTAAAGCCGTAGTGCTCTATTGATTCTATTCAGCCTGCATGGGGATCCACTCGGCTATCGCCTCGTGTATCCACAGCTACTTTAACAATGTTATGACGAAATTCATGATCAATAACAGGACAGTCGCATGAAAAACGGACGTCAAGTTGTTCAATAGATAGCTCTTAAAATATTTTTGTTAAATTTATATAGGTATATTTGCCAATTATAATTAGAATCAAGATTAATTCCCAAAAGTAATATTCATTTAACGTAATTGTGAGGTTTAATAAACATATTGGAGATGCTGAGATTCACTTTATGAGCTATTCTTCTGCCACAAATCTGTTTTACTCCGTTTTCAAAGCTAATTTTTTAGCATATAACCACTGGCTCGCCTTTTCTAATTTGAAATTTTCGTTGGTTTCGTAATTTAAAATGTTTACAGAATGGAACATTGCAAATCGAGTCTGTAAGTAGAAACGTCTCCCGTAGTATGCTCCTTTACTAATATAAACATAAGAGAAGTATGTGTTCGGCGCGCATTGCGCACGACGTCTCAAACTGAGCGATGAAATTTCAAAAAAGTTAAAATTAGACACCCGCGTGATCGTACTTCCACTATGTAAGAAATGGCACGCGGATAACAAGTCAGAAAGAAGAATCTTGATTCTAAACCAAATATTGATTATGAATTTCGCAGGTTTTTCTACAAGTAATCGCAAGTAACAGTGCAATGGACGGAATGATGGAGGAAACGGAGGAAGCTGATGAAAACTACAGTTTCAGAAATAACGACAGAGACGAGTACGATGATGATCAATGCAATCATGGCGGCT